CTTAGGAAACAGTGGCTGTTTTATTCTGCTTCTTCAGGCATACAAGAAGAATTTCCAGCATTGTTTATCTGTCTCCTGAATGCAGATGGAGCACAGTGTTTATACACAGCAACCCTCTGCCCTCTTGCCTGTCTGACATCACCAGCTTTCCTATTCTGATTTACCTGAATACAGCTCCAAGGTTTTGCAGGCTGAGTACATACATTCCACATTTGTGGAAGTTCAAGTAAACTTCTTGGAAGCTGCAAGTACTAGAGACCAAGAAAATTTTGGGGAAAACAAAACAAAATGGAACAAAACAAAAAAATAAAAAAGGTACAAGGAATAAGAAAAGGAAACCTTTTACCTTGTGTATTTTTCATTTTTTAATGTTATTCTTCTCTGCCCATTCCATCCAGTAACAGTAAAAACAAAGCCTAGCTTAGGTAATTAACACCTTTGCATTTTATATGAGAAAAAATTTAGATGTGATTAATCCCTCTAAAAAGTAAACACAGGTCTTACATTGAAGTTGAGGAAAGCTATGCAGAATTCAAGCTAAAGTAATGTCTGTGCGGGAAATATCAGCAGGAAGTTTGGGGAATGCCCAACACACAAACACTGGTAGAAGACTGTTGAGACAAACAAGATATGCAATACTACAGTGATAGGAAAAAAGATGTGTTTATATTGTATGTGGTCTAGAAGTTCTTGGTCAGTAGCATAGACTCATGAGGAATGGTTCAGGGAGGATCACGTCACTTCTTTACAAGAGCAATAATAGGAGAGCTGGTGTGCAAATCCTCTCTTAATACAACTAAAGCCCCTCTTGAAAGCAGAAGGTTTTTTGATAACTGGGTACTGGTCTTTGAACCGTAATCCCTTGAGGAGTTACTCTCCTGCAGTGGGAAGTCTCAGTGCCAAGGGGGAAATGCACTAACATTGTTAGGTACACTGTGAATTCTGTAGGACTGTCTTCTCCTTCAGAGTCCTGAAACATGTCACTCTTCAGCAGAGGGAGACAGCATATCTCATTATACTGTGAATATGTATATGACACTAAAATTAATAGCTTAACTGAAAGAAAAACACATTTATAGGTGCCTAAAATGCATTTTGAGGGACAAGTAACAGATCAGGGCAAAAATTATACATATTTTATAACAATCATGATTCGTACATCCAGCAAAGACTAAGTCTAGGATGCAATAAATGTTCTAGTAACTTTATTAATTTTCTAGCCTAGGTGGATATACATATATTTATGAATTACATATCCAATTTTCAGTGAATTAAGCTACCTGCCTCTGGAGAGGTAACGCAAACAGTAGAGGCAATGATTCCCAGCTCTACAGGAAATTCTGACTCTAAAGACTGAGGTGCAGCAGCAGGAGGGAAAGCCAGTCCCAGCTCTGTCTGGTCCCAGGCGTTGCATCCTTATTGAGGCAATCACAGGGCTAATGTGTGATATTTGGGGAGTGGGTGATGGATCTGTGTGCTTTTTTGGAGAGACTTTCATACAGCACTGCTCTGGCTCTGACTCTGAAATTGCCCCTCCTGGCTTTCTTACTTCCCACTGAGTTTGCAGCTCCTTCATTTTTGCTCAGCATCTGTCCTCAGATATTATCCCTGACCTTGATGCTCTCTCTGTAGTTGCAAGTGAACCTTTTATCTACCTTTCTCTGCACACAGAGCACCTCCCTCCCCTGTCCCCCATCCTGCTTTGGGTCCCTCACACTGTCCCCACCACACCTGGGGCTGCCACGCTCGCTCCCCAAAGCACAGCCACTGGCTCCTGCCTGCCCCCAGCTTCCTTGGTTTTCAGCACTACATCTTCCTCCAACAGCTCTGAGACAAGTGCAGAGAAAATCAGATTGAGCAGGGTGTTACATTGCCAGACTGTTGAGGACAAGGGTTATTATGTGGCTGCAGGCATTTCCAAAGGGCCGATGCCTGTCCACACACTGGTGTGATGATTTTTTCCCTGCATCATCACTCCTATGGCAAACACCAGGTGCCTATTTACAATCTGGGTCATGTTCCCTATCACTTCTACCAAACTGAAACAAATTTACACAACCACAACAAGAAGGTCTCCAGACAATACACTTTCTGTTTCCTTTCCTTGGCAAGAAGCCTTTCCCATGAGGCCCAAGATTACCACTCATTTCAGTGATACCAAACTGCAGTTCTGGGTGACTGCATTCCCATCCTGCTTCTGCTGAAATGCTGCTGGTTTTCATTTAAAGGCATATTTCAACATAAAAAGTCAAATTTGGCTAAGCCTGAATCAGAAGAAAGGATTAGGAAGGCAGAGGAATAATAATAGACCAATTTAGCAAATTTCTTGCTGTGAATATAAAATACTGTGTCAGTAGTCTTCATTGATTGCTTGAAGAAAATTCAGAGTGCATGAGCACTCTGTTATCTTTGCACTGCACCTTTTTTTGTTGTGCTTGTACCAGTGCATATTTTACAAAGATTAATATGCTCCCACCAAATCTATACAGTTTTATGAAATCCATAGGGACATCTGGCAAGAACCTATCATATATTTTTTCTGTGTATTCCTTGCAAACAGATTAGTACTCAGTGAAATATTCTTAAGTGAGAGGGTAAAAGGAAATGGATCTGTTGTTGATGCAGGAAGGAGATCAGTGGAATTCAAAATACGAAGTTCTAGGATAACATCAGGTTGAACGAAGATTTTTTGCTCTCGATTTGGAAAGAGCAAGTAGCTATTGAAAGAGTGCATAAAATAGAAAGGGATCACTAAAAACTTCATCAGTAAGGAGTTAATGAGTGTCTGGCAAACCTGCTATCATTTGCATGTTCTCCCCCCCAACTTCACGGGAATACACAATGTGAGGTTACGTCATACATAAAAAGGACAGAAAGGAAATGAATGCATTTTTACCAACTGGAAAAAAGAACTATCATTAGAAGATTCTATCAATATCTATTCCTTATTTGCACCTCCTCTTTGCTTGAAGAAAACCATTTACAACCCGATCTTTCAGCTGAAGTTAACAGCCATATTGGACCATATATCATTCCATACTGTACCCTTAGAAAGTCAGCTTAACACAGCATCAGCAAAGACGTTAAGAGACTGATGCATAAAGCTTCTGTTGACATGAACTTCACTTGAATCAGATGCTGAACTGCCACTGGAAGGTTTACCTATGACTGACTTGTGTAATTAGACACTGCACTGATAAATTAAATGAGATTTAGACATGGGGATTGTTAAGATACTTAAAGAAAAGCAGTCAAGAAGTTAATAATAATCATTCTAATAGAGGTCTGTTAAAACCAGGGGGACTGGGTTAGTAGCCTACTTTCACAGAAGAAATAGTATTGGAATGAGCAATTTTGCCCTGCAGACTTTAATACACTCCACAAAAACTACCAGCAGTGTAACACATCTGGGAGATTTGCTTGAGAGCAAAGGCAAAGTACAGTGGCAGGTAACCAAAAGTACCTGGCAGCCCTCAGGAGGGCAGTTCAAATATCTGTGTCCTTTATCCCCAGTCTAGAAGAGCTGTGCAGTTTTATGTTGACAAGCATTACAGTGAGCCATCCATTTTCAGAACTATCATGCTAGGAAAATTTACAGCACATTTAGAAGATCTAGCGCTAATTTTCTGCAAGAACATACAATGGATCACTATCAAAACACGGGTTTAGATCACTCATTTGCCATGCTAGGAGGCAGGACTGTCACCTTCTTTGTCATCAAGACATGTAGGTGAGTGAAAGGCAAACATAACAATGGATTTATGTGGTGCAATGTAATTTTACTCTGCTGAAACTAAACATCTATATAGCCTAACAAATATCATGCCCTTCTGAATTCTACTTCAAAATCTAAGAGCATATCCATCAAGGCAATTACCTACATCAAAAAGAGCTGTAAATTGAATACCAGAGGCTAAAAAATATGCAGCAAGATGGTTCCACAACAGCCTTGAAGGTCTAGTCAGTTCTCCTGGGCATCACAGCCTTTAAGCACAGATTTCAGGGAAACTGCAAAAAATCCACCACTATCTTCAACCAATATCCCTGACTGTAAATGCACCCCTGAAATGTAAACTTCACCATGTAGTCGGGAGAACTGAACAAGCTCTGGTGGGATCTGGAGTGAATTCACTCTGCCTGACACCTGGATCAGCTGGGAGCCAGGTCAGCACAGTGTGGGGCCTGAGATGGGGGAAGCTCATATCCCCTGTACTCATATCCCTTTTTGCTCCCATTTTGCAGTAGGATTATCAGGATGAAGAAAGTTACGTATCAAGGAAGCAATTATCATGCTAGTGGTACCTGGTTAAGGCAATGAGTGGGAGGTTGGACAAGCTGCATGCTGCACATACTCCAGAGCCCCTGTACACCCAGACTACAGTCCCCAGATATCTCCAAAAGGAAGGTGCAGTGATTCCTGGGAGTGCTCACCACTGAGCAACTCACTCACATCCTTGTATGTTTAGGGCCCCAAATCAGTAAATTGTGTTTGTCTTTAATCAAGCTGTGCCAGTGTGCACATTAATTTAAGCCTCAGTTACAACGAGGAAATATGTTAATAAAGAGAACAGTCATTGCCAGAAAAATACACTGGACAGTTTCTAAAAAAATGTATGAGGGGAAGATCTACAAGCTGCAGAAATTATTGGTTCATACTTTTCCTCTAATTATCAACTCAGTGAGTGCCCCTTTGTTTTTCAGGTCATTCCCCAATTACATGTTTTCTTTGTTCCACAACGTTTAATTCTTTTCCAGTGTTGCAAAATTAACTGGACAGGTTTCCTAATCTTGTATCTACAAAGAACTTGTTGTAATTACAATGAATGCTTTCATTTTGCTGGTGTCTGAAATACGATTTGCCGGGGAAGGGGGAGTGTGGGTTGATGCTAGTCCCATCATTAATAACATTCCTGCAGGGATTGTAGTGGGGGGAGTAAAAACCCCAAAGCTTTTATATAATAACAGCATGTGTTTGCACGTGAGCTGCTCCTTTAAGAAGCCTTGGGCTACTGGAAGTAGAGAGATCCAGAGCCCCACAGCTATAACAGAGGGCAGAGGTTAAATCTTTTGGCATATTTACCATAAGAATGGTCACTGCACACCCTCTTCCTGAAGGCTTCACTGAAATAGAAGTGTTTGCCATTGGCACTGCCCTGCTGGTAGAAGGTAAGTTCGGTATGGGACCTCAGCAGCAATAAGATGTTTTTCCTCCTATTATTTCTGGTAAGAGAGGGGAAGGGAAATTGAAGTGAACAGTAGCATTTGTGTTATGCTGACCCTGGTTACTGTGGCTACATCACCAGTACTTCTGGTGACTAAATCAGGGTGAGCTGCAAGCTCTTTGCTTTGAATATCTGTGCACCCTGCATAGCAGTGAAGTACTTGCTACTCAGCTCTCTTCTCAGGAATTTGGGATGTAATATTTTGTTGTTGACTTTTAAGGGCAATTTTATCTTCCTCTGGGGAAAGAAGTTGAAATGAGTTATAATCTCTCAATAAAATTGGACTGCTTGTTTTGTGGGTTGTGATGGCTGTCTTACAATCAAACTTGATAGCTCAAAAAAAAAAAAAACTGTAAACTGTTAGCATACATCCAGACTGCACTGGTAGCACTGCAATTAATGGCTGCTGGGTAAATGTAACAGACCATATCAGTTTAATTTAGCCAGTGTGATATTTTCTTAAGGCACATGCCACTTATTGAGGGACTGCAACAAAACTGTGAATTTGTATCTACCTGGCAGGTAGCAAAGGCTGATAGCTAGGATTATGTTGGTGTCAGTCCCAGGCCTGGGATCCCATTCCTGCATAGTGCTGCTCAGAGGGGGATGTGGGAATAGTGGGGCCCAAAGGCAGAGGAGGAGAAACTGAAATCACCATCCGAGTGGGATAAATGCTCATTGGCTCACCCCATGAACATGGAGCATGGGTGCTCACCTTCACCTTGCACCCGAGCTCATATCTGGCTGCAAAGGAAAGCTGGAAATGTTAGACACTCTTCCTTGGAAGAGAAAGGAAAAAGCTTCTACTTCTTGCCCAGGGGCAGGCTTCTGCCTAAACAGAGCCCAGGGCTAAGCCTGGCTGACAGTCCCTGAGCCATGTGCACAGCCTGGGAGGATCTGCTCTCCTATCCTGCAGGGTGGGAAGCAGCAGGAGGACAGGCACAGCACTGGGGACTGGCAGAGCCCAGGAGCTGGGTCCTGCTGGGGCACCACAGCCCTGCCAGCCCTGCCCTGTGCCAGGGGCTGCAGCCTGCTGGGGACCTGCAGTTGTGGAAGTTCCAGCAAAGAATCCCATGGTAACCTTCCATTAAAACTAGGTGTAGCTTAATATATTTATGGTTTACTAAACACAGGTATTTCCCATCGGGTTTTAGGCCAAATGTGCCCAGTAGATTGGCAGTAAAACTTTATAATTGTCATTTGGGTTAGAAGACCAAGCTAAATAACCAAGGATTAATTCACTTTCTGAAACACTCTGAGACAAAGGCAATGAAGACCTCTCATTTTTTTATGGCAGCTTCTAAGTGCAGTTTGCAAAAAAACGTTGTGTTAAAGAGTTGCATCACTTTATTAAGTGGACATCTTTGCTGATCTAACAATGAAAATTCAAAGGTTTTTTTTTTTTTTTAATTTAGTAAGTTCTCTGTTTGTACACTAATGCTGACCTTCAAGAAAGCAGAATCTGGTAAAGCCTGAGGCTTCCAAAAACAGGCAAAATGTAGAAAAAAATCTGATATAGTAATAACTCTTCAGCTCTACTCTAAATATGCTCAGAACACTTCTCTCCTAAAGGCTTCTCTGCATTTGGGAGAGTTGACAGCAGTTTTACCCCGTGGGCAGGAGGTAATCTGGCAGAGAGGAAATAAAAACAGCAGATCTCAAATGGCTCCAAATATTTCTCCTGGAAATATTTTGTTATATGTTGTGTAATGATAGACACATATCAGCTGTTACTATGGTTATGCCATCAGCCATTAATGCAATTAAGGTAGAAGCAGGATTTCTGACTAGAAAAAAATCATCCATCTTATGTAATCGCAGAATTAAGACAATAAGCATAAGTAACTACACTACTTTACAAAATTAGGGGATAAGGATTTTTTCTGAGCTACATCATTTCTTTTTTTCTGAGACGAACACAAAGACATAGTGCTACTCATCTAACTGAAACTAAGAGACTGGATGTTGAATCAGAGCCTCATAAGAGCTAAAATAATTCAGGTCGCGTTGAAAAGGGCATTAAAGGACAAAGCTCGAGTTTAAACCAGAGAAGAATGGGCTTCAGAGTGGCACAGCTCTGTGCTGGGCATATAGCTCGGGTTGCTTGGATCCCTCTCTGAGGACCAACATAAACTTTTTTTTTTAAATCTATCAGTGACTGCTTTTCATAATTAGATTATTCCTTTCCATGTATAGTCTACTGACGAGGGACAGTAATAAGATTGAGCTGGTGTGATTCAAGCACTGTGTAGGCTACGCTGAGACAGAAGCCCAAAGGGAGGCAGGCTGACTAAAACATGGCTGAGGGATTTCTGTGCTTAAGCAAAAAAGAATGTAAAAATGGATATTAAATGGAAACCATTTCTCTGTTAAGGTCAGGCCTGGACATGCATACACTAACAGCATGTGCTGGCTGTCAGCTCTCCTGAAACTGCCTCCTCTGCATCTCACTTGCTCTGAACCCCAAATCATGTGCCCCTGCACAGAGCCTGTCAATCAGTAATTGATTTTAATATAAGTTTCTCTTATTATCACAAAAGGCAGAATTACAAATAAGATCAAACTGCTTCTGCTCCACATGACTGATGAGGTCTGAAGCACTGGCTTGAGCTGTCACCTCTGACTTCTGTTCTGAAAGCCTTTGTAACTTGCATGCAGACTGACCACTACAGATATATTCCCTGTGCACAAGAAGATTCCACTGTAATTGTTGTTCTCTCATCAAAGAAAACAGCAGTATCATTGTAGATATTTTCCATTTCCAGTTGAATCACACCAAACAATTCTGTCTTTCAGCCCTGCTTGGTTTCTGTCTGAATGGCTTGACAATTATTTCTTTCCGAAAAATCAAAGAGCTCCGAACACCCAGCAATCTGCTGGTTCTCAGCATTGCCCTGGCCGACTGTGGGATTTGCATCAACGCATTCATCGCTGCCTTTTCCAGCTTCCTCAGGTAAGGCAGAAAGGTTTTCCTAAAGCATGCTCAGAAGAACTACATGAAAATTAACAGTTTAAGTTCTAAGAGGTCTAACTAATTAAATGTCTCTCTTTCTACCATAAGTCATAGCCAACCTTCTCATTCCCTCGATCTGAAACAGCAAAACAAAACCCTACACGGTTCTACCAGGCAAATAGAAAAGCAGATTTTACTGTATATAATCACTTACATATTTTAAGACTGGCTAGAGAAGACATTTAACCAGACAGCTTTACCAATAGTTATAGAAGCTACTTGAATATCGAAATATCACTTCACTAACCTCTAGACTGACCCCAAATTTGTCTGCAAGTCTTTATCTGTTTGTTGTGTTGCACTGACTTGCACACATTGACAAGCTGGCTCCTCACAAAGGACACAAATCTTGAAGATCTGGATATTTGGATGAAAAGCAGATTTCAAATTTTAAAAGCCCAACTTTTCAATACACATTTACAGGGTTATATTTTCTTCTCAGTATTAAGAGTACAAATAGGTGTTGTACTGTAAGAGACACCACAGCAAGAAAAATGCTGGCAAATGCCTAAATGCAAGCACAGTCACATCTTTCACAGTGTTTCTCAGACAGATAGGATGAGCACAGGCTATCGTTGTACCCTCTCTGTCCATGCAATTTCCAAAGATGTCTTCACCTTTCTCTATCATTTTCTTAATATATTCCTTGTTTGTTGACAGATACTGGCCCTATGGCTCCGATGGCTGTCAAATCCATGGATTCCATGGCTTCCTGACAGCACTGGCCAGCATTAGCTCCAGCGCTGCTGTCGCCTGGGATCGATACCATCACTACTGTACAAGTAAGAGCTACAATTTACATCACAGCCCTACCCACATCCTGCAAAAGGCAGCTGGCTTAGGTTTCTGAGAATCAAAGCAGGCATATTCTTACTATCTGTGTAGCTTATATATAAGCTTGTTTTTCTTACACCCTAGATAGAGCAAATATAAACAATTTCTCGAAAGGACTTCTTTCCGTACAGGAGGAAATTATCAACCATGTTCAGGAGATATTTCCTCATCCACATCACATCCAATTTGTGACCCTCTTGCCATGCTTTCACTTAATCCATAAGTAGTCTTTAAAACAAAATCCCAAATAAAATCCAATTCCTCGTATTGAAGAAAAATCTATTCATCTTGAGCTTTCATCCAACACCCTGCTGTGTACCAAACAGATCATCATGTCCGTGCAGATTTTACTAACTGTAGATAAATTTGGTGTAAGCAGAGAGCTGCCTCTGCAGAGACAGTGGCTGGAACAGAGCCTATGAAGAGGCATGATTGGGCAGACAGAGCTCAGCAGCCCCTTTGTGCAACACACAGGCATTTTGGGGTGCAAGAGACTTTTTTTACCCACAGAGCCTTTTAGGCACAGCCTCCATGTGGTTCCAGCAGCAAATGGTAAAACACACCTAAAGCACACAGGGAATATAGTCAGTCTGATGATCCTGTTGAGGAAAGGTTGTAAACTTCTTTAGTTCTGCAGTTTTTGCAGGAATTCAGCTCAGGCAATGAAATGTTTTTTTTCATTTGTCAAGATGAAAGCCCCAAATAATGCAGTCTGTGAGCTAAACCCATATTAACAGCTCTTGGACATTGAAATGCAGTTGGAGCTGGAAGAGGAGCATCTGTATTTTACAAGAGAGAGCCTGAAAATAAGCATGTCTGGGAAAGACATTTTACCTTCTGCCACATTGGCTTTAATGCTTTTGTGTCGTGGATTCCTCCGGTCAAGAACATACACTGCATTAAAAGCACAGGCAGAAGGACCCTAAGGGCACAAGCTTCTTTACTTTGCTCAAATTGTTACTTACTGATGGCCAAACATGGCTCCTATAGTGAACATTTTGAAAAACAAAATTAAAAACCCAGAAGGTGCTCATGCCCTGTGGTTATTCCAGTAAAACCAGCCCCTTCTAGTTCAATTCTTCACATGCTGATTGCAAGGAAGATTAAGTCATATTTCACAGATGTGCTACACCAAGCCCACAGGCTATTCTGTGTTCTCAATCCATACATTAAACTCCTGTTGACATTGGTGCAAGTTGCATGCCTGTACAGAAGGTACAAAATACCTTTACCTAAAATAAAAGCCTTTTATCTTCATTCCCCAGGATGTGGTACTCCTTCCAGGCTCAATTACATCATCCCCAGGTTTTTTTGTTATGTCCTAATAGTTTCCAAAGAAAACATCTGTTGTGGCATTCCTCAGCTTGGCACTTGATTATTCACTGTCCTTATTTCTGGGAAGAAAGAGCTGATGAGAATGTAAGAGATTGCTAGGATGATAGGATAACTTGGGACTTTACAACCATTCTGGATGCTAATGTCACAAATTTGTTCAGCAACGTTCTGAAAACTGACCAGCTTTTTATAGATTTGGAAGTCAGCACAGCCCTAAGTGACAAGGCACTCTCTTTAAAGTGCATTGATGACTAGACAAGTCACTCACCAGAAATCAGGTTGATATTGCTTGGCATATGGAAGAAAACATTATTATCATACTGTTGATGTGGGGCAGAGTGGCAAGAGAAGGTCAGGGTATTTTACTCTCCCCTCTCTTGTTTTTTTTACTTCCAAGCAACCACAATGGGCAACTCTTTTCATTCCCTAAGTGTGGCTCAGGGGGTCTATGAAATGCTACTTTCAGAGCAAAGAGGAGAGAACTAGAGGGATAACCTAAAAGTACGCAATAAGAGGAGAAATATCAGGGGAATCTGGAGGGTATCAATGTCAATCTCTAGCAAGATGGGAAAAAAAGATTTTAAAATTTGATCATTAGGGGGGAAAAGGAGAAAACAGAAGTAGTTATATGTTAGTGCCTGGCAGTGAAGAAGAAAAGCACAGATTCTGAGGAAGCTGTCTCTCAGCAGCAGTATTCAGGCCAGAAGGTGACAGTTTAGATCAAGGTGGACATTGTCAGTTCCTCTCTGGCCATTCACACTCCTTTCACACTGCCCTTAGACGTTTGTGAAGAGGGAAAGGATCCTGGTCAGTTCATAAGCACAGCATAAAGTTACAGATTTAAAAGGAAATTTTAAAAAAATATAGATATTTTTTTACTTGCATTTAAGAATTAGGGGAAAACAGAAAATCTGAAGTGATTTATATCCGTATTTCTCTCAATATTATAAAAGAGAAGACAATCAAAAGCAGCAAGGATTTCACAGCAGCATTCAATTTCTAAAAGTAGAATTACAGTGACTTTTATCTAATCCTTAACAACCAATGTAACCTGGGTTTTACATCAGTATTCAAGGATTACCAAACTACCATTTGCTAAAACTGCCACTGTCAGCTCTGTCAAATTAGGAGAAAGTCCTAAACTCCTGTCACACTGACTCATCCATCCTGCCACCTTCCCTTCATCTAATTTTGCACCTGTATCAGTTTTCCCTGACAAAATGTCGATGTTTATACAGATCTTGCATTTTTCACTGAAGCAAGAGGCAATCACCAAGACAGTCTAAGATCATGGTGAACCACAGCAAAATCTGAAAAAAAAAAAAACAGTGGAGTAAAAATATCCCTTAGGTTATGTTAAAGAGCTCTTTATAATGATATGCACAAAAGAAGCTATTACACATTACAGCTTTCTTATTCCTACCAAAAAATGAATACTTGTCAGCACCAGTGACTGGTGCTTTTTGCACTGCAGATGAAATAGGCGCTAGCACCTATTTTATTTATGACTGATAGATATTTTTCCTTATCAGATTTTCAGATATTGCTGTCTTTGACAACCTTAGCTAACTTTAAATGATGCATGCCATTAAGTTTGGTACAAACCATAAACTGTCCTGGAATATATTATAATTTAATATTATACAGCTCTTATAACTTAACCATTTGCAAGAATGAGGAAAAGGGACTATTTTCCTCTCCATCATAGAAAATCCTGTTAACCTTTTATTTGAGACACTTCTTTTGAACAGCAGACTGAAATCTAGCTAAAAGGTAGCCATGGTATCAGAGATGTATTTTTTAGTCCGTGAAAATCAGCTAAATGTTTGAATAAATCATAAATCTTAAAAGAAAAAAATTCATAAATGTTTCTACAAACTAAACCCTGAGATATAGTTTATGATTATATCACTAAAAACTGCCCTTCATGATCAAAAACATTAAGGTTCCATGCTCTATTTAGCACTTGCTAAAAGTTCATCTTTTGGCATCACAATTTTAGTAATCTTTGATTGATGGGAGAGTAGTCTTTCTGTTCCAAATCAATTAGAGAAATTGTTTAAAATTCCCTATATTAATATTTCACTGTCTGGAAAAGAGAGACTTCCCTTTTACTTTTCAAAGAGAGAAAACCAGATCACAAGAGTGATTAGACTTAATGGGACCAAACTGCCAGCACTGGGCCCCAATTAGGAATGATATCAGTAAGCATATGCTGGACCCCTTGAATATGCATTTAATTGAATTAGGACCTACACAGCTATTACATTAAATTTTATCAGGCCAAGAAAAGGCATTTAAGGTAAAGCAATGGCCTGCTGTGCACAAAAACAGCTGAACTGCTCTCAACTTGTGCCCTTGCTCTCAGCCTTCTCAGGTGAGAACAATTTTGCCACATGAACACAGCACAAATCTTTCACTGTTCTTGTACTGAAAATGTTTTTTCTGAATAAAACTAAAATAATCTCAAGCTCTTTTAATTTTACATTCATGTATTTTTAGCTACTTCTGTGTGTAAATATTTTCTGAAGGGTCAGCCAGCAGCTGATTTCACCAGGTCTACTTCACCATTAATCTCATTTTGCAAAAGGTCAAAGCCAAAAGGAAAAATTTAATTTTATTAGTTCTGATTCTCTCCTCTTCAAGCATCCAAAGTGGGGCCCCTTGAGTGTGAGAGAAAAGATGAGCTCAGCCCCAGAAATGGGCTTTCCAAAGACAGGCTGTTGTGACAAGCCTGGTGCCAGACTCCATTACTCCTGCATACTCCTTTTATTCTACATCTAATAAGAAAATGGTGGTCCCTAACTCCCACAGAAAAGTAACTAAAATAAATTTTTCCCTACAGTTCTTCATAGAAAAGGCACAAACACTAAAGTAATTAGATGCTTAGGCTACATTGCTTCTTTTGGCTGGGAGTTTAAGAATTACTAATTATTAAAAACTTTCACTTCTGTTTCTAGTCCCCTAAATCAAAAACTATTCTTTTATTTTCCTCTATGTAATTCTAGAGTCATATTATGTGAGTACTACAAAGCAGTGTTTAAGCCTTTGCAACCAAATTGTATCTTCTATGTAGCATTCATATAAAAGACAGATATTAGTCATTATTAACAATTCTTCATTAGTAATCATTATAAAATTATGTTTTAAATTACTAAAAAATCAAAATTTTTATTGCAAGTATCAAATAAAAAACCTAGAATATTTCATACAGAGTTTTTTCTTTCATTTTCTTTGTTATATAAATTGCATTGTACAACTGTCTTTTTCCATGATGAATTTTTGAACACCTGCACCAAACAAATTTTCCAAGCTGATTTTTAATGCAATTCAAACTTAGTTTTTTTTACCTTAAGAACCTCTTTAAGATAAGAAAAAGGAGAGGAATGGAACCAGAACTCCTGTAAAAGGGCAGTATCACTAGCACCTTTTATTTTCCCTTTTTAAAATATACAAGAGTAGTACAGCACCAAATAGCTGCTGTAGAGTCTGTGGCTCTTCCTGGAGCTGCTGTCTCATGGGGATCTCCAGCCTCCATGGCCCCAGATGTCCTTCACCCACGAGTCAGCCACGTCCAGCCCCACGGCAGGGACCCACCTCCTGCAGCTCATCCCTGGTCCTTCACCTGTCAGGGAAAGATCAGAATTGGCTGGAATCTTCCTGCCTGCTCTCACGATGCTGCTGCCTAAGAGCAGACAAAAAGATTGCTTCCCAGCCTCAGTGAAAATTGCATCATTACTTGTCCCTAATGGGAGATTGGATTAGAAAGGAGTGCTGGGGAAAGTCACTGCTCTCCTTGCTGGTGCTGCTCAGCGTGGGCATGATGACAGCCACTAGCCTCAAAAACAAAATTATCCAGACCTTTTTACATGCAAGCAGTGGGGCTAGCACAATAGCCTGCAGCACAAGGAAGCCTGCCTGTCTTCTCCATGAAGAAATACTTCCTGTGTCTTCTCAAGTTTGCAATCTTTCACTACATTCCTATGGTATTTGATGGAATTGGATGAGATAGGCACAAGGGAATGCTTTATTATAAAATTAGAAAAAAGTTACTAACGCTGAGCTTCACATTTCCTGTTATAGGTTAAGTGATCATCTTAAGGGCAAAATTACTTGTCCAATAGTATTTTTAGAAGAAGCTCTGTTCTCAGGTTGTATATATATTTTCACATATATATTGGTGACCAGTAATTTTAGAACAGGGTATATTAGATATCCACACATGCCGTGAACTCCTGGCCAGGCAGGAAGGAAGAAGGCAGGGGCTGGGGAGTGTGTGCAGTTACTTTTCTGATCTGACCCACACTCTGCAATGGTGTTTCTTCAAACACTGTTTATTGCCTCACCCTGTTCATTCTGCTCTCTGCCTCATCTGTCTTTAAACACATTCCCAAAACACAAAGTATAATGTTTGTAACAGCAGCTGTATCTCCAGAATGCTACAAAGCTGAGCAGCAATGCAGCATTTGTCTAAGTAAAACACACAAAAGGGAAGTACAGTTTGCTGTTTCCTAAAAGCTTCCTTCATATTTTATGGAAGACTGACTCCTTCAGACTCGGGTCAGTTTCAGGGTACAAAACATGAACAACTGCTTGTTTCTGCCTGAGGCCCAAGGGCCTGACAGCTGTTTCCAGTGGTTTTGTTCGGGGCATGGAGACCCCCTTTCCTCTTCCTACAGGGAGCAGGCTGCAGTGGAGCACAGCTGCCTCCATGATGGTGTTTGCATGGCTGTTTGCTGCCTTCTGGTCCGTGATGCCCTTACTGGGGTGGGGAGAATACGACTACGAGCCCCTCCGAACCTGCTGCACTCTGGACTACAGCAAAGGGGACAGGTGAGGGCCAGGGCCAGCTCCCACAGGAGCAGAGTGGAGGCTGCCATCCCTAGGATGGCCTTGGTGGCACAAACCACCCCCCCAGCTGTGCCCACCACTATTCCTGGGGCAGATGTCCCTCCCAGCAGCTGGGACAAGGTGGGCATCACCCAAGGCTGCCTGGACTCGCGTGGTGGCACAGGGAACAGCTAAAGTCTGCTTCCTCTGTGGGAGAGGCTGGTGCTCAGCTTTCTGCCACTCCCTCACTCTTCTGTACATTGCATCTTCTCTGGGTTTAGGGCTTGAAAGTCTTCCACTATGTTTGGCTTTATGCAGGCCGACACAGAAGTCTGGGTAGTGATGTTTGGGTTTAGAATACAAACACCTGTTATGATTTTTTACGATACTATCCATCCCACACACAATAGCATGGCACAACTTAATTGGCCTTTAGCAAATGCTGCACCTGAACACATTGACAAAAGTGGTTTTAGCAATTTTCAAATTACAATTTGGTAAATACTTAAAGCAAGTTTACAGAGATGCACTGGATTTGAATTAATATTCTCTTTTTTTCTCCCCTTCTCACCTTTTCCAGAAACTATGTCACATTCCTTTTTGCTCTGTCCACTTTCAATTTCATGATCCCAGGCTTCATCATGCTGACAGCCTATCAGTCCATACACCAAAAGTTCAGGAAAACTGGGCACTTTAAGGTAAGAAAGCTCCCTGAGCTCCTGCGATCACCTTGACAAAATAGGTCTGCATTCAGTAGAGATGAAGTCCTTGAAAAAAAACAACAATTTCTTTCACAAAGACTTTGACTCAGCTCCTTCTATCCTAACTCCCCAGTGCTACTTGAGTAGTGCAATGTTGGAGCCATTCAGAAAGTCCATGGACACACCATCCTTGGAAATGTCAACATTTTACCAGACAGCCACATTTACCCTAACCTAGTCCTGTAAACAGTTCCCCATCAAAGATGGAGTTGGACCAGTGATCCTGAAGATTTCCCTCCATTAACATTGGTCCACCTCTCCTCAAAAAATAAACACAGAGCATACAGAATATTTGCCAATAGCATATCAGTATTTATCCAGAGAAATTTATCTCAGGAAGGATTGTTATTTCCTGCTTTGCTACTGGCCTTTGGCTTATGGCTGAGGAAGTCAGACAGAACTACAACTCTGCAAGGAAACATGCAGGCACCCCATGGGGAGAAGGGCTTTCCCAGACACATTGTGCTAACACTTGGCTGAGGAAATTCAGAAATGTTTATGAGCTGGAAACAAAGGAATTGTTCTGGTGTGGCAGGTTTATGGGAATGTAATGTGGTGATTCTATGAGTTGCTTGCTGAGGTGCAGGTGGTACAGTCTGGGGCACTGTGCATGGCTGGTGGGCACAGCCCAACCCCTGCACTCAGTAAAGACAGTCAGATCTCAAGAGAAATGTTATACTGACAGAGACAGTCAGGCCGACTTGTTTGTAGCTGACTGGAATAAATACATATGCCCTCTATATATGTCTTGAACAAATCTCAGTGTTCATTATTATGTCTATTACTTTTTTTCAAATAATGTATGCACTAGCATGTGATTTCTTTCCCACGATACTCTGTAGCTGCACAGACAGGTTAGAATGCAGAAAATTTAAGGATGAAATTATCACTTCCTTAGTCATTAATATTTATAAGATACTTGGGAACAGCTGGCCACAAACACCATGGATAGGGCCCTAGCATAAAGGACAGAGAAATCCTCCTACCACAGCAGAGCTGCTGCATCCATTTGTTGCACCAGCAGTGGTGTCACACACTTTGTCTGTAAGACTATCTAGGAAGTCAGCAAAATATCATTGCTTTTAATCTGCTTTTAAATTGTCACATTGCTGTCTCCCCTCAGCAGCAGTTACTGGCCATGGCTTCTGTGTCTAGCACACACTGATTTATCTGATTTACCACAAGGTGTTTTGTCTCCTCTGCCACTCCCCACCCGCACCCAGGATCAGGGCTCTGGTGCTGCTGCTCTGTTCTGTCCCATATCCTGTTGGCTGATCCTCTCCTGCTACTGAACACAAGCCACGGTCCCACAGTGATTGTGAAACACAAGGAAACCTATTGCTCTTGTCTTTCAGTTTAATACTGGTTTACCATTGAAGACGCTGGTCATTTGCTGGGGTCCCTATTGCCTGCTGTGCTCCTACGCAGCAGTGGAAAACGTGATGTTCATTCCACCAAAATACCGCATGGTACGTCAGCACCACCTCAGAACCCAAACACTGAGATTCTCCTCACTCCCCTCTCTCTCTCTCTCTCTCCATGGGACAATGACAGTTTACTCACTACTGGCTTTATTTGTAAAAATATGTATAAGAAGTAGTCCTTTTCCTCAAAGCATTCTGTTCATCTACCATTTTTTAGCGAAAACAGGTAAGCACAGTGATACAACAGGCATTGTATTATTGCTTTGATCAAGCAAAAATTTAGGAAATCAGGGGTGTTTTTCCTTAGCAGTTAGTTAGGGGTGTGTAACCTGTCCTGTTCTATGTCATGTAGGAGCTTTTTGTTCTTCCCAGAGTGAGGTACCAGCTCAGAATTTTCAGTTTTAAAGTCACTGTTCGTCTCATTCATATTTCTAATACTTACTTGTCCTCAAGGAAGCTGTAATTGATTACTCCTAAGGTTCTGCTGATTCCTTCTTCCCCTTTCTTCAATAAGTCTTGGCTCCAAAGCCACAGCTGGAATCACTGCTGTAATATCACATCAAACATTTCAACTTTCATTCCATACCTCCCCCCAAAATCAGCCCATTTTCAGGTCACCAAATACATTAGTGTATTCAGTATCCCACGTTAAGTGTGCTAGCAACATCAGCCTATTTATCCATCCAAAGGTGTGCATGGCACACCTTTCACTCATCCTAAGTGATTGTATTCAATGGCAACTGAATTATCCCTGTTTCAGGCAATGCCAACCTAAATTCTTTCTCCTGTAAACTATAATTTCCTTAGTAGGACTTCCCACCAACCAAACTGCTTTTACTTCTCCCCTGTCTGGGAGTAGAAAGCTAATGCCATTGGAGACAGGCTTTTTCTGGTAAGGGGAAACTAAACATAGGCTGAAATCAGCCCGTTGGCTTCTCAGTGTGTTTTCCCGGTAATAAATATTGTGTCTCATGACAGATTCCTGCCCTTATTGCCAAGACTGTGCCAACGGTGGATGCCTTTGTATATGCCCTGGGAAATGAAAACTACAGAGGAGGAATATGGCAGTTCCTCACAGGACAGAAGATTGAGAAAGCAGAGGTCGATAACAAAACTAAATAACCCATTATGGCATTAAACACAATTACTGTGGGTACATCACTGAAAGCAAAATTCAAGAGAAAACTGAGTGCATTCTCTGATATGTTATGTGCAAAGGTGGTTCCACATTGGAAAGGCTGTGCATTGGCTACAAACAATGAAGTATGGAAAGAAAGCCCTCCAGATAACTGTCCAAACCATCATGAGCTGCTTGTCAAACAAGCTGCTGTGTCGATTGTCATCAGTCTCATTTTGTATGTCACTGCGAATAAACTATGTGCTGGAAAGCATTTTTTCCTCCTGATAAAAGCTAACATAAACTCTCAGCAAATTAACTGAAGCAGGATATTCATTTATCCAGTGAGGCCTCATCAGATCAATCTGTGCAGGTTGTCCATATGGTAATGTCTGGATTACTAGAAGATTAAACCAGTATCCAGTATTGACCACATGTCTGTATAAATAGCTTGTTCATCTGAACAACTCATTTTCAGTGCACCCAGAACAGGGCTTTCCAAATTTCCGTCATGAATCTGACATCCTAGTTCCATAAAAACATTTTAGTGAGCATGTTTCTCCAGTAAAGAATATTAGCTTGGCTCCTATTCAAATGAGTTACTGTGTGACATTCAGTTTTGTCACACAATAAACTACATCAGATTTTGCAGCTGGTGCTTAGCAGGACAATCAAAAGCTTATAGTCCATCATAAAAAACATTCATCTTTTTGTTGAACATTGAGCAAAAACTAAAAGGAGGTATGAGTCAGATTCTGTGAAAAAATGTCAGAATAAAAATTAATTTCACCTCTTCCATTAAATTCCCCTATGTTCTACATAAGAAAGCAATCACTGAATCAGTGGTGATTAAAGAGTCTGAGCAATTAAAAAGTCACTTTCATAATTATCAAAAATCATAAGTATTTTAAACTCTCAGAAATGTCCATTTTAAACACTAGTATTTGCTCATGTTGCTCATATTGCCTATGGGATGAAAAACTGTCAGTTGATATTGCCTGTTATTACAAGATGTGTCTCAGAATTGCCCATTTGTAAAAAAATATGTGCATGACACAGATTAAGAGAGATTGTGTGTACAAAAAAGCAAACCTAATTGATACTTGCAGGGATCATGTGGTTCATTTCCAATCACTGACAGTGGAAGGGTTTTTGAAACTGACCAAAGAAACAGCTGATCCATCCTTTTGATGCCTTCCAACATATTAACAGGGAAACAGTCGTTTATGAGATAAAAAAGGGTAGATGGTACAATCCTGCAAGCTAAACAATCAGTGGGCAGAAGGAACATTCTTCTCATGTCTAGAGATAGGGAATAAATATCATTTTGTCAGCAGTTAACCAGCAGGATCCCATTCAGGGATGTGCTTTGGGACTTCATGAGGTTCAATCTGGTCACAAAGTACCTGACAGAACACTGAATAGTGCCATGACAAAATTATGCAGAATAATGACATCTAATGCTGACAGCTAAGTCTTACATCTTAGGTACACACAATATAAAGTGAGCAAATGACAAAATGTTTGCACTGATAAGTGCAAAATAATGTGTTTGGGCACAAAGTTACCTTTAAGTATGTATCTACAGTGACAGGCTCTGAATGTGCAATTATCTCTTTCTCAGGAAAGAGGCCTGGGTAGGTCTTGCAATCACCAGCTCCATTGTCAGCAGGGTCACAATGACAAATCCCAGCAGAATGCTAAAAAAGGAGTAGGCAACAAAACAGGACACATAGCCACACCATTTGAAAACCATTTATTCAGACTTAGTGAACAGGGTGCATAGTTTGGGTCATTCCAACTCAGAGAGGATAAACTAGAAAAGAGCCACAGAGATGATCAAACACAGGGAGAAGCTTGAACACAGTAGGGAGGAAATGAAGGAAAGTGTTGGCTCAGAAGAGGAGCCCGGTGAGGAGAACAGAGACAGCCTTATTGAACCATGGATAAGGGCATGAGAGATGGAATGATTGCTGCTCCCAGTAGCAGAAGAATGATGGGACATACAGTAAAATTACTCTGAGATGTGCATTTTCAAAAGTTCATGGTTTGAGGAGTGTTCTTCATGTCTGCCTACTGAAACACATTATGGTTTACATAAAAAGACTGTAATAATCTAATAAATAACAGCTAAAGATATTTGATTAGGGACTGAGTCCCTTTGGCTTAAAGGAGACATACATCAGGAACTCATCTCAGACTTTGGCTTACTCCATTTGCAGATTGATTTTTTACTTGCTCTTACTACAAACTTTCTAATGTGGGAGTAGAAAGCAGCAGAGCTGTGTCTTCATTCTGTTGGACAGCTACAAATCTAAACATGCCTCTGCTTAGGTTTGTGCATTCTTTTTCATACAGATTACTGAGAAGTAGTGATGGGTAAAGCTGAATATCATGATTTAGAGAGCATAACGTTGGTAAATGGTATTCAAGCCTTGAGACAAATGGGGCCTCTGTCCTGAGCAGCAACCAAAGCTGTCCTCTAGAGCCCCACTGAAGAAATGCAGGGTGACAAAATCACTGAAACCTTCCACACCTAGTACAAAACTTACAGATGGATTGTGAAGAACACAGGATGTGTTCATATGGCCCAGCTATAAGCATGGGACTAAGCAGGGGCAGTACAGGGCATTACAGTGAGATAAGAACAGCCTGTCCCACCCAAGGTGGGGAGAGACCTCACTTCAGATGGTTTCTTGTGCACTGTGTCTCTCCCATTGGGTCAGAAATCCCACCTGGTTTCACTCTGCACCTCTAAACCTAAAGAAGTACGTAAAACATGAGTCATTTCTCCTGTCATTTATCTCCCCCCTGAATATCTTCAACAAATGCTTCTCAGCCAGTCAGGCCCACAGCTGTCCCAGCCTGAGGGCTCCTTCAAACAGGTTACAAAAGCTCCTGACTGAGGGAGAAGAGGCAAACAAACCATTTGAACAAACTGTTCAAATTCGAGTTTATAGCCTTGGCTGCTGCCTTCCTGCCAAAGAGGGGAAGAATTGAGGTTGCTCATGGCTCATTTATTGGATTATGGATAGTTTCTCTCTGCAAAAAAAACCAAAAAAAAACAACAACAAATTGAAAGAAAAAAAAAGACATGGAAATAAGCATGAGGGTTTCCAGGGACTGTACCAAGAACTAGCAGTATCTGATAACTGGTCACTCTTCTGGCTATGGCTAGTTCTCACCACTGATTTTTCCACATTAAGAGGTGGCTGATGACCACTAACAATGGCCTAAACAAGCATCCTGTGCCTCAGGAAAATGTCTGAGAGCAAAGTGCACTGCATCAAGAAGCCCAACACATACTACCAGTTGATCCTTAGCACAGTTTATCCTTAGCACAGTCAGCCTTCACCACAACATGCTGGCCCAGTGCCTCATGGCACTGCTGGTTGTCCAGGTCTTGGCAGTGAATATCTGTTACCATCTTGATAACACCTGCCAAAATAAGGTGTTATCTTGAGTAGTTTAGGCTGAAGCATACAAAATCTCATCATGTGTTTGTACTCTGGAGAGTCCCAGATGGCTAGAAACAGGATTTACAGTACCCTAACCAAAGTACAGGCCAGGGGGATATACAGGGGGTGCAAGACACTCCTATACATGTAGTATTCCACCTATTCTCTAAAGCAAACTGCATAAGAACAAAAAATGGAGACTCAGCTTAAGACAGTACAATATGAACATCAGTGATTAATACCTGTCCTGTCACTAAGTGACTGAGTGAGTACAACAACTGTGTGCCCACTGCTAAAAATAATTAAATGGCACCTCAGGTTATGTCACATTAGCCACTGCAACCCTTTGTTGGGGAGATTTTGAACATGACCGAAATAGAAGTGGAAGGTGGGCCTCCCCTTAGGCTTCAATTACTTGATTCAGTATCCAACCACTCTTAATTTCCAGTGATCTGCAGCATTTTATCCAATATCACTTAAACACCCTACCATCCCTCTTACAGGCAAACTAACTCTGCTCATTTGTGTCAGTGAGCATTTTACACACTGATGAAAAACAGGCTTTCAAAGAAAAAATCAGAAGGCAATTTTTCCTCCTTATCTCTGGATACAAAGAGTAATTTCTTCAGGTTTTCTTTCAGCAGACATAAATGCCTCACATCTTAAATATCATTTCATGCAGTTCTATTTTCAAGGTTATTAAACGCCTACAACTCCAAATGAAGTTACTGTGTCCTCAATAATGCTGCAAATCCAGATCTTGCTGACTGAGCTTTCCCACACTGCCCACACTTACAAACACTCTACAGTTCAATAAAAGGGAGTCAGGCTTTTCTGCAGTGCACATACCTCATGTGCCTCACACACATTGTGATGTGTTTTCCCCAGCAGACACAGAACAGCTGATGGGAGCATTACACAATTCAGCAATAGGGTCAGAGGAGGAATCTGCACTGTTCCCTGTCTGTCATCATGCCTCTTTGAACTGCATTAGTGTAAAACAGGGCAGTGAGCTGGCTTTGTCATCACAGAAGAAAAAAGGACTGCCAAAATCTTAAACATGGACCCAAGTGCTAGCGATTGTTTTGATTCAACAAGGTGGGATACAAAGAAAAAAGTGAAATATAAGATCCTTATAGCATGATGAATGGCAAGTGTTAGTCACAAATACTCATCCTTCCTGTTGTCTCACTTAAATTTCTGTTCGTGTTTCACCTGCAAGGATGACAAAGTAGAGGCTCACACCTCAGCCCATGACAGTGAGAGTTTGTAAGTTGGAGTTAAACTGCAAAAATATTGTTACCATCTGCCTTTTTAGACATATTCACACTTGAGATTCTTCATCAAGGGATTACAGTCAATGGCCAGGTCAGGCCCTGGCCCTGGCCAGGCTAATAAACTAAATGCTCAGAAGACTTTTTTGTTGTGAAAACAGGCATTTCACTCTCTGCAGAGAAAAAGGGAGGGTGGGCTTGGTGCTTTAATATTCTGTAAAATAATAATAATTTTCAAATGGTGAACACACATGCCTACACATCTATATTAGGTGTTGTTTGGAAGTTTGTTAATGGAAAATAATCTTTTGTGTATATCATTAAAAGACAAAAGGCCCCAATAACTGCACCAGGAAGCACAAAAATGCTTCTTGATGAGATGCTAGTCTGAATGATTATCACTACATTTGAAATTGCTCATGCAAGATTTAAGAATTATATTTTAACCCTTTGAGACCCTTGGATTTCTGCAGC